AAGCATTATGAAGAGGTATATGAGGGGGAAGGAAGGAAGGAAGGAAGGAAGGAAGGAAGGAAGGAAGGAAGGAAGGAAGGAAGGAAGGAAGGAAGGAGCCTGACTCTGTAAAACACTTAGAGAGGGTTGTAAAGCACTGTGAAGCAGCATATAAGTCTAAGTGGGAAGGAAGGAAGGAGGAAGGAAGGAAGGAAAGAAGGAAGGAAGGAGGAAGGAAAGAAAGAAAGAAAGAAAGAAAGAGCTTGACTCTGTAAACCACTTAAAGAGGGCTGTAAAAGCAATATAAAGCAGTATATAAGTCTAACTGCTATTGCTATTTCTTTTATTCCTATTCCTATTCTAGAGCCCTGGTGGCATAGGGATTAGAATTTAGTATTGCAGGCTAATTCTGCCCACTGCCAGGAGTTCGATCCTGACTGGCTCAAGGTTGACTTCCATCCTTCCTGAGGTTGGCAAAACCAGGATCCAGATTATTGGGGGGGGGAATAGCCCCACTCTGTAAACTGCTTAGAGAGGGCTGTAAAAGCCCTGCAAAGCAGTATATAAGTCTAAGCGCTATTGCTGTTAAAAGTACGGATGCAAAAGGAAGGACAGAACGAAACGGGAATGACAAAAGAAATATTATTTATTTATTGGGAATGATTAAATTGTTCAATTGTCCCCATCCGCCCCATGGCAAAATAGCCCTCTTTCTGTTCTCGGAATGCCTCGATCTTGCCGTTAATTGCGACTGGAACTGTGGATGGCATTCCTGTCTCTTTGGGAGAAACAATTATTTAGTTTTTTGTACAGGAAGATCCCCGTATGGCCACGTATGCAAAGCGAGGGCTTATTTAAGGCAACGAGTGTGAACGGCGGCCACCACCTCGGAGCAAGCCGCCCAACTCTTTTGAGTCCCGAAGCTTGATTCAATCCCCCGAATGAGATAAAATTGAGCGCAGTTTTATGTCATTTGATGGAATGTCTGTCGACCATTCCAGCGCCTTGCGTTTGTCGGCTGGGCCGTTTGCAACCGGGGAAGAAGGTGGTGGTGGTGGTGGTGGTGGTGGTGGTGGAAGTGGGGAGAACGATACTGGCATGAAAACAAAGACGCTGCTCCCAGGGTGAACAAAATTCAAAAGCCGGGAATCTTTCGGTGGTGCTTTTCCGAATTGTGCTTGATTTCTGTGCACAGGAGAAGAGAAGATGTTGGATTTGGGGGTGCTGCCAAGAGAGGGGAAAATATACCACAGTGATGGCGGACCTACTCGGCACCAAGTGCCCAAACCAGAACATGTATGAATGCATACTGGCCAACTGGTCTTCGTCAGTGCAAAAGCACCGGAAACCCGAAGACCAACTCACTGGAGTTCACATGCCTCTTATTTGGCTGATTTGGAGTCATTTTTGGGCTGTTTTCAGGCTATTTTGGGGGGCATTTTCAAGCCACTTTCTTGTTTTTCCGCCAGAGAGCTGAAAAACAGCCTNTTGACTGGGTGACTTTGGGCCAATCACCAGGAGACTGTGAGTTCTAGTCTCGCCTTAAGCATGAAAGTCAACTGGGTGACTTTGGTCAGAACTGGCAGGCCATCAGGAGGATTCTGAGTCATCAACCTCCCCCACCCAACCCCAAGAGGGAATTTTGCAAACCTGTGGCTTTATCAGGCGCAAAAGATCAGGAC